CTCATGCGGCATGGCTGGAGGAACCTGGAAAACAACTGACCCACATGTCATGCACTGGAGAGCCATCCCCACCTCGCTGAAGCCTCTGCCCCTTAGCCCCAGGACAGGCATCCCCAGTTCCAGGGATGGAGCATTGCCCTTAGCATATGGGAGTCAGGTTCCAAAGCTTCCACCTCTGTTGTTTTAGGGTTTTTCCATATTTTAGGTGTCTGGGGGACCCCTGCAAGTTATTTGCTCCTATGTGAACATGTCAGAATTTCTAGGGTTCTTCCTTCTCCAAGCATATTTGCTAAGCACTTTAGGTTAATTCAGGCTCTTCAACAGCCCTGCTGGTTCTCTGTCTCCCAAGTCCTCTTTGACTCCACATCCGTCCCCTGAAGGTCCATATGCTGCATGCGAGTGCCAGGAAGTGCTGGTGGTGCAACCAGACAGGACTGTTGGAGAAATAAAAGCACACATACCCCAACTTCTCCTAGTTAAGGAAAAAGGGAAGGAAATGCCATTTTGTGTTTTAACTGTTTTTTTATTATTATATAAAATTCAGGTTTCTTGTCTAAATGTTTCAATCTGAATTCTGCATTTCTATGTATTTTTGAAGACATCAGTGGGTAAATTCAAGAAATCTGAAGAGGAAACATGGTTTGGTACCAAGGTCCCTGTGAAGCATGATGGGCAACAATTGGGCTCAGGCCCCAGGGCACCTGCAGCCTGTGCCCCCACCCCAGCTGAAGCCTAGCTGAGGACCATAGGACCTGGAGGTCTCCCAGGGGTATTAAACCCAACTCCAAAAGGCAGTGGTGGGGGAAAATGCAAAGTCCCAGCAGAATCTGCTATCCCCAAGAGCTTTAGCGTGGCAGTAGGCTCTCCTGAGAAACAACACCCAATTCCAAAGTCTGATCCAGCTTCTGCTCAACAAGTCACGCTGGGAGACACACTTGAACAGAATACCACACTACTGCAAGAAACACTGTGAGCTATGTGAGCTGAGGACTCCCCCTTCTGGCCACTACAGGACACAAATCTGTCCACGAGCTGCAGCCCATGGTCTGAACTGCTTCACAGCTGGTCCCTGCCTGGCTGCCCAATCTGTCCCAATCCCTCCACCTTCTGGCCCTCTGCCAGGATTGTTTTCCAGTTTCACAGCTAGCAAGGAGCTTTGCTAACACTTGAAACCCTACCTCCAAGACCAGCCCACATTCCAGAGCATTACTCGTTCACATGGCCCTGGCAGGGCCCCCAAGGAAGAGGCACTGGGCCTGGAGGCTACTGGACACATGGACCCTGTGCTTCCTTTGGGCTCCATCCTGTGCGCGCACCACACAGCAATTCTGAGCCCCAGCCTGGAGTCCACAGTCACAACCACATTGCAGGCATCTCTGTGCTTACTTGTGCCTTAGAACTGAGCGTGGGAGTGAGTGATGGGCAAGTGTGGAAGGGAGCTTCAGTACAAGTGCCTCATGAACAGGGGTGTCTGGATGAGCCAGCCCTGCCTTTCCCTGCACAGGGATGGAAAGTGAAGTACGTGAGATTGGACAGTGGAGATGTAACACCCCCACCACGGAGACTTGATAAGCAAACTCCCAAAATTTCATGCTTAAACCACACATGGCAGGGGCAGATGGGGGGCTCTAGGAAGCCTTCCTGGCCACCTGGGGTACCAGCAGCTCCAGTGTGGAAATGCAAAGGCCCCATTGGGCAGTGGGCTGCTACTTAATGAGTTCATTCCCTGGCTGGGAGCCCTGGGCAGGGAGGGAGAGATGCCCAGTTGCCTCTGGCAGTCAGGGCCCCAGGGCTGCCTGAGCAGTATCTACAGGGCCCCACCCACCCTGAGCAGGTACACTAGGGTGGGTTACACTGTGCTAAAGCATTGCTGCTTCTTTGGCAGGGGAAAGGGAGCACTGCAAAAGGTGCAGGTGTCTCCCATGGCTAGTTACGAAATAGCTTGTCACTTACTAGGATACCACCTCTTTGCTGGTGCCTGAGTTAATGGCAACTCAGGTGCCAGCATCAGCCTTTCTGGCAGAGCAAAGAGACCCGTTGTCTTCAAGTTTCCATCATAGGGAATTTCAGGTCTGTGTCTTAATGTCCTGAGGAGTCCCCAAAGCAGGACTGGTCTCAGGTTTGGAAAATGTGTCCTGAATTGGCCCCACATCCTCCAGCCAAATGCTCCAGGTGTCAGATACCACACTGCTGCCCCTGCTCTGATGCAGGACTAATTAACCTGGGCACAGTGCCTGGGTGAATTAGCTTTGACTCTTGGCTGGCAGCTGGATGGTGTCTGGTGCTACAGTAACATGACTAACCAGCTTGTGCTTCAGTGGGCTACTGTCAAACCTGGATGCAGTAGAGCCACTTTTCAACAAGGGAAATTCAAGCTGCAGCAAGGAAAGCTTAGGCTAGATATTACGAAAAACTTCCTCACTAGAAGGGTAGTAAAACACTGGAACAGATTACCAGAGAGACTGCGAATTCTCCTTTCTTGAAGGTTTTTAAGACCAGGCTAGACAAAGCTTTGGCTAGGACAATATAGTTGGGGCTGGTCCTGCAGGGGGTTGGACTAAATGAGCTCCTGATGTCCCTTCCAATGAAAATTTTCTATGATTCTGTGATTTTAAGGCTGCACTCAGACTAATTAGCTCAGCCATCACAACTGCTAACAAGCCTGTGAGACATACCTCTCTGAGGCGGCTACACAAACCAGACCTGGAAGTGATGTAGACGGCTCCTGGTTCTGGAGGTCTAGAGAGCACAGAAGACTGCCATGGATTTTGCTTCCAAAAGCACCTTAGGTGGCAAATCCTGGTGATGCTCATGCACCCAAGGCAGCCATGAAGCAGGGCAGCAGGACAAGGCTCTTGGAAGGGCATAGGGCAGAATTTTTCCCTGTGACGCACAGGTGGAGCACATGAAAGCAGTGGGGCAGGGCCTTCTCTGCCTCCATGCACAATGGCACTACAGGGAGCAGGGTGGGAGCAGCACCCAGGCAGCCAATGAGAACTGAATGGGGAGGTCAGCTCTCGGGCTGAGCGCTAGAGCATGGTGCTGGTTGTATTTACACCTGGACCCATTGAAACAGTGCCCTACTCTGCAGTGATGACTGCAGGCAAGAAGCAAGTCAGATCAGGGGTCAACCCCATGCACAAAACCCAGCTCCCTTGCTCTGAACTGCAGGCGGACCGCCAATCCTTTGCTGACACTGCCCTCTGGTGGGGCTGGCCAGCTAAACAAGACACTCCTGTTCCCCTGGCCTTGCCGGTGATGATCTGGGGTTACTTCTTGTGCCAGGCTGTAAGGACAGTGCGATTCTTAAGAGATTGTCCAGCTGGGATCCAGAGGCAACTGGTATCACACTCACTGGGGACCCTCTGGGTCTAGACTGACAGGAGCAGCAGAGAGCTGAAGACCCAGTCAGCAGTTTGGAGAAGAACGCCCCCACCCCCAGTGTCCCCCCAGGTCTGAGGGAGCAGAGTGAAGCCAAGCCAGAGTGAGGGCAGGATGCCCAACAAGCCCTGCAGCCAGAGCTAGAAATCTGCTTCCAGTTCCTAGAGAGCAGGAGAGCCCCCACTGCTGTCCAAGAAATCTTGGCAACGCCAGAAAGCAACGTGCTGGCTTGTGCTCAACTAGGATGCCACATGCTGAGATGCTCAGGGGACCTGCAGGAGTGGCGAGTCGTTTATGCCACTGCTGCACACTCACACTGCTCCTAGGATGTGTGGTTCAAAAGCAGAGACTTCCTGCTGAGGTGGCAGCCTGCTAAGCTCACTTCCTAGAAAGGGCATGAGCCAGGCAAACACAGGTAGCCTGAAGTAAGAAGCCACAGAGCTGGGCTCCTAGTTCTGCCCAGAAAAGTGCTAGAGGAGAGTAGCTCTCAACCTCTGGCTGTTGGATGAATCAGGGAAAATCCAAGCATTTATCCAGGAGGTGACATGACCTGGGATTGAGGGATTTTATTTCTTCCCTGGCCTCCTAGCTGCAGGGTCTGGCTAAGAAGATCCTGAAGTGGGTCTTGGGTGGGGAGGAGGGGTGACAGGAAACACAGCTTTTTGGATGGATGCTTAGTTTTGGAGAGATAAGAGGTTTGAAGAGATTCAGGCCCCTCCTGTGGCCCCTGTACACAGCACTAGGGAGCATGGGTAGGGTTCTTCACTCCTGAGAAGCCCCTTTTCCTGCACTGCCCCATTCAACTAAGGAGTCTGCATAGCACATAGGCAGTCTGACACTCCCTCCTCTGGGTAGAAGATGCAAGAATTGTTTGAGCCAAACCACAGGGCCAGAGGGGGCAGAACAGCATGGAAGAGGCAGAGGGAAAGGTCTGGCTACGGTGCTTGCTTGTGGGAGAGGCGTGGAAAGAAGAAAAAGGGACACATGAACCTCCACTGTGCTGGAGGGAAGCCATGTGTCCTGTGCCTTCAAATGGAAAGAGGCTGGTGTACTACAGTGCAACTCCCCTGCCCTTCCAGCCTCTCCTCACAAGGCTGCCAGGTTGCCTCATAGGACCCCAAGGACAAGCATCATGGTCACACAGGCTGAGGAGAGGTATAGGGACAGTCTGAGCACAGAGAACTATGGTGACCAAGCCATGAGGTCTGAGCTGCCCCCTGCCCCCAAGAAGGTGGCTCCACAGAACCGTGCAGTGAGGCTGTATGAAGAAGCTCACCTGGCTACCATCTCTATGTGCTTGGCCAGCTTTAAATTTTCACAGCTCCCCCTGTCCCAAGGGTTGGTGTGTAAAGGGGAAAACATGGCTGGGCCTGGGGCCTCTCAGACCTCCTTTAGACAGGCCAGATCCTAACCTACCACCTGGACATAGACTTTACTGTGCCCAGTGACAGCCCCACACCTATGCAGATGGGAGCACACATCCCCTGCAGCCCTACTACCAGCATCTGTCAGGCCTTTCTCACCTCAGCAGTGACCAGCTTGTCCCAGAAAATATGTATGCATGCACTCACATACTCACAGGAGAGAGAGAGACAGAGTGCACTCACACACCCAGGTTGTGCAGTCATGTCAGAGGTAACTATCAGCCTGGCCTGCATTTATTCCATATCCAAGTACATATTTAATTAAGTCCAAGACATTCATGAAGCCCTCTGCAAAGCCAAAAAGGCTCCCTGTCACCTCAAGGGCTGTACTGGTACTTCCAGCCTCCTCCTGCTCAGGACACCTAGCCCATTCACTCCCCTGGCAGGAGGCCACCTCAATCTTTTTGACTCTTGAGCTGTTCTGGGTCTGTAGGGCAGGCAATGAGGGTGCAGAAAGGAAGGATTCAGTGCTGCTGATGTTTCTGAGCTGGCCCATGGCCCCACTGAGGAAAGAGTTCTGGAGCATCTCTGGAGCTGTTGCCACAAGCCAGTCCCACAGGAACAATCCTAGAGTTAGGGCTGGCTCAGAACTGAATTTTGTTCTGAAGAAAACTGGCTTTTCAGGAAGAAAATCCCTCTGGCTGGAGCCTGAATCACAGCTCTCCAAGGAAAAAAAATTCTGGAACCTTTCTATGCAGGACTAGCCCCTGTCCCCTTAGACTGTAACAGTGCATGAGAACATTTGAAAAATACTATGCTTGTGCCATAGAGGGAAATATCATTTCATCCTATTATCACAGACTCTAATGTTCTCCATTGAAAAATAATGTTGAAATCAGCACCGTCTGGCCAAGCCCCTGGGACTGCAGCAGAAGTGTGCTTTGGGATGGAAGAACTGCTCCGTCTGCATTCGGGGGACCAGCACTCAGTGGGGTCCGGCTCCAGCACTGAGTTGTGAAGCAGGGAGAGAGCCTACTGCTAGCACTCAGCCTCATCCCCATCACTGCTGGAGACCAGCTCATCCTCAGAGCCCTGCGCAGGTGGGAAGGGCTGGTTGTGCTCCAGGTTGATGTAGGTGACAGTCAAGTTGATGTAGTGCTCCCCCTTCAGGGAAGCCATGATCTGCTCCAGCTCCACAATCAGGGCAGAGAAGCTTGGACGTTCACTGGAATTCGGGGACCAGCAGCTCAGCATCACCTCATACCTGTACCAGGCAAACAGGACCCTTAACACAGGAAGAGTCACAAACCGGCCCCACTACACAGCTGGGCAGTGCCACACCAAGCAGGTTGCTCAGCTGAACACTAGGAACAAACCCACATCAACAAATCAGGCATACTGCCCCAGTACCTATGCACCAAGTCCCTCCTACCTCCATCCCCACAGCCAGAGTTCCCAAGGGAGGATTTGAACAGCTGGAGGAGCTCAGCAGAGGGCCCTATTCCAGGGGCTGCTGGAAGGCAGAAGCCAGGCTAGGGTGCCAGTCCCCGGAGGGCTCTGGAGGACTGGCAGGCAGGATCCTGGCAGCTGGGAGAGGGGAGAATACCCTGGGGAAGTAGGAGGGGGGCAGTTGTAATGGAAGAGAATGTCACAGAGGGACTCCTGGGCCACCATGTCCCAATTATTGGAGTATACGAGAGTTTCAGCAGAGAATCCTCACCCCAAAGGGGACACCAGGCCTGGGCAACCCTCAGGCAGTGAGCCCAGGCCATGGCTGAGTGGTGTGTGGGGGGATACCCTCTACTCACAGCAAGTCAGGGCAGTACTCTGGCTGTGGCAGGCGCCTTCCTTGCAGCAAATAGTGGGTTATATCATAAGGATCCACTTCACTGTATGGTGAGGCTCCTCGTGTCATCAGCTCCCACATGAGGACCCCGAAGGACCACTGAGTAAGAGAAAAAAGGGTTTGTTCTACTGCTGGACCAGGCAGGCAGCTGAGAACACTGCTTCTGGGGCCAGGCCCCAGCTGGGGACACTTCACCCTTCCCTAGCTCCTTCTAGCCCAGTACATCCCAGAATACACCCCCTACCCCACAGGGGAAGAGACTCTCACTAAACGTGCAGGAACTAGTGGAACAAGGGCTTAGGGGAGCCCTGCCGGGGGTTGTATTGCTTAGCCTACTCCAGACAGAGTTGACAGTGGTTTCATCTGCCCTGGGGGCTGAGAGTGCAGTACAGATCTGTCCCATTTGGACTGAGGTTCACTCCTGCCACCAGCCAACAGAACCATCCCCTCAGTGAGGTTCCCACTGCCCAGGACAGAGCCAGCCCTGCATCATTTACAGAAGACTCCTTGGTAACTCTGGAGAGCTCTTCTAATTGGTCCATGGGCTGTGTGAAATCCCCAAGTATCAGCAATACCTTACACTGCGCAGACATCAAGCATGCTACTCACCACTTGTCACTAGTATTAACCCTGTACAAACCGGTTAGAAACATTCCCTGCCTATGAAGGGGAGGGTAAGAGGCACTGATCCCTCCTAGGCAGGACCAGCAGGATGGACACAGGCAGCCCTTGTCCAGGCCTGTGCCCAAGGCAGAAAGGACAGCATAGTATCTGATGGGAGGGCAATGAGGAAGCAAATAGCCCAGCAAAAGGCACTGAGCCTGGAGCAGGTAGACTCTTTGCAGACCTTCTGCCAGTCTGCAGGAGCAGAGCTGCCCTATAGCCCTGCTGTGAATTCCACACTCACCACATCTGACTTGCTGGTGAACTTCTGGAACTGCAGGCTCTCAAGGGCCATCCACTTCACTGGCAGCTTGGCCTGGCGGTGCTGCCGTATGCTGTAGTACTCCTTGTCAAAGACATCTCGAGCCAGACCAAAGTCTGCCACCTTCACTGTAAACATCTGGTCCAGCCTGTGAGGCACATCAAGGGCTGAGGAGTGCAAATCACCAATAGGGGCAACATACACAGGGCCTTGGCATGCAGGGCCCTTCAGTGTTAGCCGGCTGAACCCAGCCTTGAGACAGCAGCACCCAAAGCTGCTCCTAGCAGACAGCTTTGTGAAATGAGTTGGAAGCTCTCAGCCTGCGTATCCAGGGTTCAGCCTCCACTTCCTGGAACTGCTGGCGCTGCTGCAACTTTTGGGTGGTAGAGAGGTGGGCAGGGGAAAAACCTATGACTCCTGAGACAGTGGCTGCCATGACAGAATCCATTGGAAGGGAATGGGACCACCTCCCTGTGGAGAGGGTGGCTAGGAAGCCCATTCAGCAGCTCTCCAGCCACATACTGTGCCCAGTGATACTCACATGCAGTTCCTAGCAGCGAGATCCCTGTGGACAAACTTCTTCTGGGCCAAGTAGTCCATCCCCTGAGCCACCTGCAGCCCAAAGCTGATCAGGTCCTTCACCGTTGGGTTCTGTGGAGATAGAGCCATCACTCAGCCTCTTGGTGCCAAGCCTGGAGCTGGCAGTCCCCCTGGGCAGCAGAGTGCCCCTAGAGCAGGCCCATGCCATGACTTTGACATAGCTCCATGTGGTGACTGGTACCAGCATGGAGAAGGTGATGTCCACTAAAACTGCTCAAAGACCCTGCTACCAATGGGCAGCAGAGCTCACTCCACTGTGGCTCAGCTGGCAGAGTGCTGCAGGCTGCAGCTGTCTTATCCAGTTGGTGTCACCTGCTTTTGTGTGTGGTGAAAATAAGACCTGATTACTCAGTCAGCCCTGCAATGGCACAGCTGTCTGACTCCTGCAGGTACAGCAGGGCTGGGAGGTTATTGTCTCCCACTTTTGCCCCCACCTCCAACGGAGTTGCTTTTATTTGAACTAGAGGCTCACTGAGCCCCAGGAGTAGCAGTTCTCCTAGTCCCATAGCCAGAAGGGGAAGCCAGGCATGGGGCCACGCAGCTAGCCCATCCCTTACCCGTTCCTCAGAGCGGATGAAGTGCCGCAGGTCTCCATGCTTCATGTATGGTAGCACGACCAGGGGTAGCCCCTCCTGGGGCAGGCAGATGCCAATGAGTGAGAGGACATGTGGGTGATGGAAGCTCTTCATCAGAATACCCTCCTTGAGGAACTCCTCCACCTCCTCCACATCAGTGATGCCTGCCAAGACACTGTGTAAGCCAGGCTGGTGAAGCACAGGGCTGGGCACAACCTTATGAGCCAGTTGCACCACACTATGGCTAGGAGCAGGCCTGGCAGGACAGCAGGCACCAGAGTTGTGGAGACCAGGAGGGAGAGCAGGGGCCCAAGGGAAAAGGCATAAAGAGCAAGGCCTGAGGTCCATGAAGATGACGACTGCTCTGGGGGTGGCTAGCCAGTCCCCACCTGCCCAAGCTACAGCCCCCACTACAGAACAGCTAAGAAAAGAATGGCATGAGGTTGCCTCAGATAGGAGATCAGAACCCAGGTCTGTACCTGCTTCCCCAGGTACCAAAGTGTCCCTAGGCAGTGCATGATGGGGGCTGCTCAAGGAAGCTAGAGTATGGCTCCACCATTCAATACAGGTAAAGTACCCAGGCTCTCAGCTCTGCTATGGTACCATGCAACATTGGGACTTACAGCCCAGGAAGCAGTGGGAGTACCAGTATGTGAAGGGCTGGTGTCACTGGTGCTGAAACTTGGCCCAGTGCCCACTCAAAACCACATGGCTGAACATGAGAGCTGACTGCCCCAGCTTGCAATAGCCAAGCCAACCAGGGTGCCCAGCTCAGCACTTCCAGGTAACATTGAGTCCTGGAGCAACACACAGCCCTGCTCTTCTTGGGGCCATGACAGAGCATAATCCACAGTGTCAGCGCAAGAGATAGGGAAGACCACCCAAAGCCCAGAAGGGTCCCTGCAGGTGAGGGGTATCTTGAGGAGGCATTTCCTGCATGGCTGCCATGAAAAGCAGTAAAAGGGTGTGCCAGGGAACAGGGACAGGGATACTCACGGTTCAGGGACTTCACAGCGCAGTGTATCTCCTGATGAGACGCATCTGTGTATGTGCCATGATATACACTCCCAAAATGCCCTGGATGTAAGCAAATACAGTGGCCCTAGTATCATTCAGGCCTGATGACCGTATGGGTCTGCAATGAGCAGGGCACAGTTCCTCTCCATGGGGATGGGCTGTGACATGCGTAAATAGAAGCAGTTGTGTCTTGGTACTGCAACCTCAGTGGGGAGAGCTGGGCATGGCTGCGAGACAGTATGGCAGCCATGCTGCCAGCTTGTATCTAATCTAGCTGTGGTTTCTCAGTGTTGGCCTGATACCCTCCTATGCAGTTCCAGTCCAATACTGCAAGTGCAACAGCCACCAGCCTCAACACTGGGCATGTTGTATTCAAGGGGCTGGACATATTCAAGTCAGCCGGTCTGGATGATCTCCACCCTAGAGTTCTAAAGGAATTGGCCGAGGTCATTGCAAGACCCCTGGCACGGCTTTACGAGCACTCCTGGTGCTCTGGAGTGGTGCCAGAGGACTGGAAGAGGGCCAACATGGTTCCCATCTTCAAAAAAGGGAGGAAGGAGGACCCGGGAAACTATAGGCCA